AAAATGGATTCTGTGCAATATGAACTTGTAATAAGAATACAATGAGTATGATTTAGATTCTAAAATCAGTTCTATAGTATGACCAAATTATAAAATCCACCTGCAACCTGATTTTGGACTTCTGCTTAATAGGTTGTAGCAAATTGATTAGAATCTGAACAAGTTAAACCATTTTACAGAGTTAAATTTTAGAGATCTATTTTAAAAAAAAAAAAAAAAAATCCTACTAACGTTTAAAATTAAATGCTATCCAAATTAAAAGAGGCCCCTTAGAACAAGTAGCCCTCCCCTTTTTATGTGCAAAAACATTTATGTCCTTAAACTTTGGTTTACTCCGGAAATAAGCAGGAATCCCCTCCTTAACGTGGTTCATAATTTATAGGAAATAAACCCAAGATTGACAGAAGGTATAGATAATGACACTATAATGTGTCCTCCTCAGTCACTGTTAATCATGTGGAATACACCATCGAATGTTTCTTGTTCATTTGATACTTGTCATATTTGCAGAACTTGGGCGGTCCAATTCAGGAACGTTTTCATAAATAGACGTATGGAAATGGAATGGACAAAGAAGTAGGAAGACTTGTTTCCACTCAATAACCTTTGAGCCAAGTATATGCATGGTTTTGGCTTTTGGGGGAGGGGGGATGGAGGCTTGTTCAAACGAGGTTGGATCTGCCATCCAACACATTACATTCTTACATGAGGAGCATATCCCCATGTAACAATTCTGGGTAGTAGATCCAGATTCTTTTCAAATGCCCTCGATCGGAGTCGGATGTGAGGCGATTTGGGTGCCGAAGAGGCTTATAGGTGTAAGTGGAGGCACGCCTCAAATTATAAATATAACTTAATCTTCATGTTTGTAGACACAATTCATTTCGTTTTATAGCTAACTTATATGAGCTTTATGTTTTTTAAAATTTTATTTTCTATTTTATTCTATGTTTATAATTATATTTATCTGAATTAGTTAATGTATACATACATATTAAATCATTTATAATATTTTATGCATTAATGGTACAATATATGTATTTTATAGCAATTTTTTATATTCATTTTTTGTTTAAAATAGCAACCACGAACAGATGCACCCACTTTAGCCTCTTCAGCTATCATACTTTTATCAATACTTTAGGTCTTAGTATTGTACTTCGATCGGCTGTAAAAGAAATATAAGAATAGAATAGAAACGTGATCTAATTAAGATGCATGGCTGAGATTTGAGAGGTACTTAATTGAGTTTGAAATGAGATTTTCTCTGCTTTTGTGTTCCGGTGATTGTGCAATTCCTTGCGTGGAGAATGGACATCCATACATTTTGGTGGATACATGCATTACACTCAATAGCTAAAAAGTTGGTACTCGATTATTGTTGAAATGCCAAAATATATGACAATTATTGAAGGTAAAATCTCATCTTTTTAGGAATAATAAACTCAAATTTTGACTACACTTTTGAAAGCCTGTGGGACGCCAGAGTTTAATCCCTTTTTCCCTGAATCCTGATATGTTGTTGTTCTTCTCCAGGCTTCAAAGTTCAAACCATACATCACAGAGTTTTAGGGAATCCTTTGCACTGGCCACGTGGACAATTTCTTTCTGATAATTATGAAACTGTGTATATGAAGACAAAACGAGAAGGGTCCATCTCAGCTGCCATTCGTGTAAACAAATAAAATAAAGAATGAAATCACTTTAAAAATCATATTCCGTCCAAATGAAGTCTCCTAAGTAGATAATTATACAGCGCACTATATAAATATAATCAATTAATCATCCTGGCCTGCTTGTCATATTTATATCATTTTCGTTCCTGCTTGGGGTATCCATTCTCTTGATCTCAAGACCAAAATGCCCCTTAGGCTGCACTTGGTTCAGTGTAAATTTCTTTGTACTGATGAAAAATTGTAATAGTGGAAATGATTTAGGTGCAAATTCTGATTTTTTTTTCTTTAATTTCTACTTTATTTTGTTTGATTGTAGTACAAATGAAAGAGAGCTAAAACAGAAAAAAACAAAATTAAATCAGAATTTGCATTTTTTTCGTTTACACTCCTATACATGTGTACTAATGCAACTTTTACTGCAATCACATACATCCTTAGGCTTAGTTTGGAAGGAGTACAAATGCAAATATATAGAATGCAATATCAAGTATTTTGTATTATTCTTTATATATTTGCGCTGTACATATTTATATTTGTACTCTTTCCAAACTCAATTTAGAAGGAGTACAAGTACAAATATGTAGAGTGCAAAACTATATATTTTGTATGTATTTATATTTGTACTCCTTCCAAACTGAGCCTTAATGTTTCAATTAACATAGCCAGCTACCGAGAAAAGAGAGAGTGGATATTAATTCAAAAAGCTATCTGTTCACATCATGTTAATTATACCTTTCTTTGTTAGTTGCAGGAAGTCTCTTTCCTTTGTTCACTAATTCTTCTTTTTCCAAATGCCATGCTATTATTAGAATAGGTGGGAAGGGTGGGGATTCCAAGTACCCAACAAATTAACCCCTTTATAAGACTAAGAGCGTCAACAGTGAGCTAACTTTGCAATTCTACCTACACATCATCAGTGTTGGGCACCGTTTGACAATTATGATAAAGATGTTAACCTTTAATCACACGTTAACATTGCTAATGCTTTATATATATATATATATAGGAAAAATCCCATTATCAGTAGCTTGAACCTTGGTCTACATTTCCCTAGCTAATTGCTAGAAGTCAGGACCACGGCCACTTCCATCCACCAACATGTACAGGTTCATAGGTATCGATAGTCTCTTGAGATTAAAATATCAATATGTAATATCTAATGTTCGATATAACTAAACCTTATGTATCAGTTAGCATATAAAAGTATATCTGAATCTGGATGCACCAATGTGGATTTGGATGGAAAACCGGCCTTTCCCGTCTGGTGCCAGTTTCACCCTGGTCCCTGGTTATAAATTTGATTCCCGAATCCCAACCCGTGACCCGTGATTCTATGACCTATTACACTCTCATCACCAATTCACCACTAACCATGAAAAAGAATCCGTAAAATGATGTTGAGGGAAAAGGGTCGGGTACAAGCAATGGGGTCCACAACTAGATCCGGTCTGATTTCAAGTGTACGGTCTACGGTGATGATAAAATGGTAATGGATCACTGATCGCGGGATATACATATATTATGGAGGAGGTGGCAGCCACACCCCACACTCACATGCGAGCTACACGTGCCCGGCACACGCTGTAAGACACGCGTGTGGGTTGACCATGTGGGTCACCCATTCACCAACACTCAAAGTCTCAAACCCAAGTGACTAGAATTAGATAGAAATTAGAAAGGAAGAGAGGAGGAAAGATTCTGACATTTCTGGACGAGATTTCGGGGATACTCGGGGGCATTGTGCAGTGATGGAAATATCGGCCAATATAGTAGCATGGTGCCCGATATGGTACGTTGAGTGGTACGGTACGGCGTTGTGCGCGTACCACGGAATACGGATGTATAATTATTTGCTTTCAATCCTTAAGATTCCTGGTCGGCGTTTTGCCGTTGTCCTAGTGGAGTTGGTTTAATTTTGAACCATTAGATCGGAATCCATGTGGTCACGGGCGGTGGCCTGGGCCTGTGGCTGTGGGTCCTCCGCTTTCATTGTTTTGATGTCCCTCAGTCCTCAACTCTGTCCAGATATAATAAAGGTAGTTCTGAGGTTCCCAGCGTCATTCACTGGTTTTGATTTCACCGATACGAATCGACACACCTTCTTATCTTTATTTCGTTTAGGTGCACCGGAACAATTTATTAAATAAAAAAAAAAGATCATTACCCTTAATTTTAATTGCAAGATACCCTCGTTGGATTCGCTCCATCCGGTTTCCGAGCTTTGGGAATATAAATACGCTTCATTAAGAGGATTTGGAAACCATTAAACATCACGTGGGAAAGATGGGCTCCAGTGTAATTCGCGTATACCCGAATTAGTAATACGCACTTGAGAAGGTCAGGAGGTGGGGCCTGGGCCTCTTCTTGCAAAGTTTAACCATAAGAGGACCATCGGATCAAGATCGACCAGAGGAACTGGTTATTTAGGTGGGACTTGGGAGTTGGGAGCCATAGTTGTAGATCTATATGGGCTTGGCCCACACGGCCCACGGCACATAGCGGGACGAGATGGCGGGAAACGAGAATCATCGCAACGATACATGTAGATCCCGGCTCCGCGAACGTAGGAGATATGAATTTTGATTTGCCATCAGTTATCATGTGTTTAATTTGACCGGCTAGTGCATTTTAGCAGGAGCCGGAGGGGCTGCCGGCTGGGCCGTTGGGGTTGGTGCCTAACTGCCTATTAGAGAGGTTCTTGCTAACATGCGCTGGGTGGGTACGACCGCAGAGAGGGCTTGTTTGGAATTTTGGAACTTTCGTTATTATAGTATAGCTAGGGAAAAGGGAGTTTGGAAATTGAGAGTTCATAAAGCAGAAGAGATAAGAGCTTCATAGTCTATGTGAAGTGAATGTAAACCATGTCAAGTTGCAGGTTTTTGGAGTTTCGTGTCGGAGGTGGAGTGGTTCGCGGTGCTGGTACTCAGTTTTGAGGAGGCTTTTCTTTGGTTGGAGTGATATTGGGATCTCCTTTTTTTCCACATATCAGTGAGGACGACCACCTCTGGTTTTGCTTTCTCTCTCTTTCGTTCTTTTACTGGTAAACATCGAGCATTCAGTCTTGCAGGGAACAAATACTCAGGGATTGTAATGGGTACGTGTCAACTATACTTCTCGTTTCTCGTTTTTCCGTTCCTTGATTTCCGTTCCTTGTTGGTTGGTTTCTTATGCTTTTTCATTTATTTTTTCTTTTAATTATTTTTCTGGGCCGGGACCTGGCTGTTTTTTCAACAGGGAACTATGTAATTCTTGTTTCATTTGTTGAATCCCTTTCGAATTTTTATATTAATTGGCGATTTGGGTGATGGGGGTTCGTTGTCTTAGGCAATATTGGGTGTCAGTTGTTCCCTTGCGGTTCCGTTTATATGAAATGGTCATGCGGTCTCTCTGTACTTAAGTTATGGCTTTTGAATCTTGAGCCCCTGACTTTTCTGGTTTTTTGTGTGTGTTATAACTGGTTCGCTTGATAGTCTTGGATAGTTTCTTTGTCCTTTTTTTCCTTTTATATTCTCCTCTTTACTGATTTTCGAGACCAAAAGAATTCATAGGCTCCTGGGACTGTTGCTCTTCCACGGTGGTTAGACTTCCTTTTATTATATCTTGATTGGCTCTGGGTATCATGGGTTCTATCTTTTCTACTAGTTCCACTGTGCTCTTCTCGATTGGTGAGTGCTTTTTTGGTTCTAGTACTTTTTTCGATTGGGTATTCTGAGATGTTGTGTATCAATATGTTTTCTTTTTCTTGTTTTCCTTTTCAATATGGATTAGTTGCTTCGTTGGCGGGAATTCCACCCAGGTTGTTCTTCTGGATTGGTGGTTTTGAGTCATGTGTTTCCACGACTTTCTTTTTGTTTTTATTAATCAATGATGACTTTTTCCTTTGGTTTCCTTTCTCTTTTTCTTTTTTTTTAATAATGGAGTCATTTCATTTTCATTTCCCCTCTTGATTGGTGATTTTGAATCTTGATTTCTGTCTAAGTTCGTGAAACTTCTCTTCTTCAGAGACCGGTTTGAATTCTTCGTGGGACATGGATGATGAATATGAGAAATTTGTTCGAAGGATGAACCCACCCAGGTATGTAAATCTAGAAAGGCCCCTTTATAACCAACCCACAGCAATCTCCATTACCATAGAAAAAAAAGCAACTTCGAGATTTCCTCATCTTTGTTTTCTTTTTTTCCTTTTTGGTGTTTCAGGGTTGTAATTGACAATGAAGCTTGCAAAAGTGCAACAGTTATACGGGTATTGCTTGTTTTCTTTTATTCTTATGGAGTTATGATTCCTTGGTCTTTTTCTTTGTTTCTAATAATTTGGTTTTCTTTCATTTTGCTATGAAGGTGGATAGTGCAAACAAACATGGAATACTTTTGGAGGTTGTGCAGGTTCTTACAGATCTGAACCTTATTATTACTAAGGCTTATATATCGTCTGATGGTGGATGGTTCATGGATGGTAAGCTTTATCATGGTACATAAGCATGCTTTTTTTCTGTTTTTAGTTATACTATTGAAAATAACCCAGTTGGGATGTCACCAGTTTTTAATGTAACTGATCGAGAAGGCAACAAACTTAAAGATGAATGTTTGCTGGAATATATTAGTAAGGTGAGTCATTCTGGCTATTTTTTTACTTCTTCTGTGCTTTTCCAGACATACCCATCTAACCTTATGCATCCTCCCCAGTCTCTTGGGGCAGATTCCTCCTATGTACCCTCGATGAGAAGATCTGTAGGGGTTGAACAATCAACCAACCACACATCAATTGAGTTAACTGGCACTGACAGACCAGGACTGCTCTCTGAAGTCTGTGCTGTTCTCACTTGCCTGAAATGCAATGTGGTTAATGGTGAGGTCTGGACCCACAATACACGGGCTGCAGCTGTGATGCTTGTAACTGATGAGGAGACTGGAGCTGCAATCACTGACCCAGAGAGGCTATCCAAGATTAAGGAAATGCTCTGCAATGTACTAAAGGGTAATAATAAAACTAGGGAGGCCAAGACTGTAGTTTCTCTAGGAGTGACGCACACTGAAAGAAGGCTTCACCAGATGATGTTTGCTGATCGCGATTATGAACGATCAGATAGTGATACCTTGGATGAGAAGCTCAGACCCAATGTGACAGTTGTTAATTGGCATGACAAGGACTATTCAGTTGTCACAATTAGGTGCAAGGATAGGCCAAAGCTTCTCTTTGACACAGTCTGCACTTTGACTGATATGCAATATGTGGTTTTCCATGCAAATGTTGATGCTGAAGGGGCAGAAGCTTATCAGGTATCTCAGAGTCATGCATTCTTTTCATAGATATACCTGCATAAAGTGTTTCAGTGTTCAATATGTATGAAAAGTATCTACTCATAAAAAAAATGTATGAAAAGTATCAGCTATCTAATAATTTTTATTTGCAAATTGCACTTTTAGGAATACTACATTAGGCATATTGATGGGTCCCCTGTCAATTCAGAAGCTGAGAGACAAAGAGTAATCCAATGTCTTGAAGCAGCTATAGAAAGAAGAGTATCTGAGGTGAGGAATGTCATTAGTATGTACTTTTTCAGTTGTTTAGTCCAAATATATATTGGCTGATCAAAGCTTGTGTTATATTAAAAAATGAACTAGACGAGAAACTATTCATAGTTATACATCTCAAACTAGGTTGCCCAGGCACCTGTGTTGCTTATATTCTTGCATAATAATGTGCTAAAATCTAGATAAGGAGTGAATGCTGGTAAGGCACAGGCTCTATCCATATGCTATAACTTGATGCACATAAAAACTGCATTTTGGTTGTACTGCAGAGAATCTGTAGATATTGCATCTTTTAACTTTATATGTACCTACATTATGAACTGTATTGTATTTGACAAAAAAAGTATGGCTGTTTTATAACTGTTTTATCTCAGAAAAACTAGAGAGGACAACACTTTCTGATTTGTAAGATCGATAGCTGTGACTCCAAATCTGGCAATAGAGTTATGGAAAATTATTGTCATTTCCTCATTTTTGCTTCCCTTGTTGTGGACCCAGCCTCCTAGCAGCATCTGCTTGTAGATATCTTATATTTTTGTCACTTTCATGTGTTTGAATAGTTTGCAAGTAGTACTTTGAAATATGCATGTGAGTTCGGTCTTATGCTTGAGCACATATAAGATGTGTCTATTTTGAATTCTTCCAGCAGAGTTGTTTTAATTAAATAACTAAAATACTTGATGAAAGTGTGGCATTTGGGTGAGATAATAAGCTTATGTTGGTAGACTATACATAATTAGTTACATACAAGTATATAACTAGTATACCAACCTACATTAGAAAAAAATCCATATAGGGCTTTCCTATTATTATGATGTAGATACTGAAACTATCTGACAACTAATAGGAGGCTGTCATACAATGTCGCATATCAAATACGTCTGGATGCCAAAGTCTTTAGAATTACAGTTGTTCCCATGAAGAAAAATGTTAAAACGTACAATATTATTTTGTTGTTTCTATGCCATGACTTTTAACATATCTCTAGGTAGATGTCTCATAGTTGTTTTTTCTTTGTTGTGCTCTTACAGGGATTGAAGCTAGAGCTGTGCACAACAGACAGAGTTGGTTTGCTATCTGATGTCACTCGTATATTTCGTGAGAACAGCTTGTCAGTCACAAGGGCAGAAGTGATGACGAGAGCAGGGAAAGCCATCAACACCTTCTATGTTCGTGATGCAGCAGGAAATCCTGTTGATGCCAAGACTATTGATTCAATTCGAGAAGCAATTGGTCAGACAATACTCCAAGTGAGAGGCTGTTTTGAGAGTCCAAAATCTCAGGCTCAAGAATCTCCGACCAGGTTCCTTTTTGGTGGTCTATTTAAGTCCAGGTCTCTCTATAATTTTGGTTTGGTCAGATCCTATTCTTGATGTTGAGGTCAGGTCGCAGGGCTTGCACTAAGGTTTCTCTCAGTTGCAACCATATAAATACATCTCTGCCTGCTGCTGCAAACTCAAACATGGATTACTTCCTTATGGAACATGCGATGGAAGGTAGAGACACGGTCAAGTTTTCCAAATAGGAAAAAGGTGGAAAAAAACAGATATTTAGTGGGACCTGTAAATTCATCCATTTCCCCTGTTGTGCCATTTGTTAATGAGGGATCCAACCCCTTTGGACCAAGAAGCGTAAGGAAAAAGGTAGAACAAAGATGTAAATGAAATAATCAGCTGTAAATTAAAGGGTTATATCAATGCTTTCTGGGCTGGCCCTGAGCTCTGTTATAGAAAAACATATGGGTGCAATCTTTGTAAATAATAAATCCTATTCTTTTTCATGGTTGCTTTGAACATATTAATTTTTTTTGTTCTCTTTAACTCTTATTTCTCCCCCACCTACCTCTCTTTGCGGGAACATGATAAGCCATCATCAACAGTTTTGCATGTTAGTTCCTCCTCATCATCAAAGCCTTGTCCTGACTATATGGGGTAGGCTACATGAATTCGGTTTCCCCATTCTGTTCTGTTCAGTGCCACATATGCGAGCTTAAATCATTTGTTATTACTTCCACTGAAGTTATTTTTGTTATCACTTGTTCTAACAGGTGCTGTAGATGGTCTTCTATGCACATGACCAAGCCATCTCACTCTACTTTTTCTCAGTTGTAAGTGTCTAAATCTAATGTCACAGTGGCATTCCACTGTTATAGAGTAATCAATTCAGGAATTGCTTACTACCTTCAGCTAAACAGACTGATTGTAGTTTGACTGTCAATGTCAAATGCCAAAAACGTTGGGAGAGCAATGGTATATAAAAGAGGCCATCACAGCATGCTTGCTTAAACACTCAATGAAAAGATCTTTGCATTAATCGACGCCCAACTTGAGCAAAGAATCTTTGACTATAAAGGCACAAAGGCAACTGCAAGTTGACCCCATAATCCTGACGGGTGGTTTAAGACTTTTAAGTGCTGCAGTGATGTGATGACCATGTCGTCTCCTTTTGCCCCCCTACGGTTTGGCAAAGAACTAATTGACAAGTCTTGTATCAGTCTGATGGAGACGGAGATCCATAACCAAATGCGTGTTTAACTGATGCACTCCAATGAATAACGAAGTTTCCAGTTCTATATTATAAAGGAAAATGAAAGGAACAAAACATGAGAATTTGGATACCCCTTTACCTCCACTTAAATCTTTTTTGTTATGATATGGTAATGGGTTTTCTTTTCTTGAATTCGTCCAAACTGAAATCTCTCTGGATTGGAGGACAAGTTTAAGAGTGACTCTTACCCAACTGGGAAAGCCTACTTGCATTCTGTTGCCTTTTTTTAGTGAAAGAAAGATTGCCGTTGAAAGCCAGAACAAAAACACAGCAAAGGCTGAAGACAAAGCAAAATGGATGATGCCTTTTAGGCACATACATCATTGTCCCATCCTCCTTATCACACACCCCTTTCGGATTGACTGGTATAGTGGTTTGTGATTATTAGTTGGCCCCTATCCTATATTGGGTTTGCAACATTGTCTTCTGCTTTCAACACATGGCATGGCACCATCTCAAACACTTCATGTTCAAAAGCTTAACTAATAAGTTTATGCTTTATACAGTAAATTGGACTGAGTTATAGAATTTGAAATTTGGATGTTCAGGTTGGTCACCTTTCCAGCTACTGGCCTACTGCCACGGGAATCTGATATCAAAATTTGGACGTGCATTTTCCTTAAGATCTGACTGCAAGTTGCCGGGAGAGAGAGAGATAAATGGGTCATGGGACGAGGACAAGTACACAGTAGCTAGAGATCTTACTAGGATCTAGATTTGGATGGGTCTACTCCCGATATGATCTGTTTCTTGAAGTACTGGTAAGGTTAGACACTTGACAGATGAAAATGATATGCGGGTCGTTTACCCCATGCCCTAGCCCAAAGTCTGAAGCAGGAGAAGCAAGTTCCAGATTGCCAAGCAAAAAATATCCTGGATGGGAATTGGGAAATGGGATCATTTAAAAGATTTTCAAAAGACAGACCAGACCTATTTCTAGTTTTATCCTTATTTTTATTAGCTACTAGACTAGAATCAGAAACGATTTCCCATTCCAGATCCTATATACGTCAGAATATCTACGCTACAGACTACAGAGAATAGAGAATAGAGAAAGGCTCTCATCTCAAATCCAAGTCCATGATGGATGATGGGATATGTCCTTGGTTTCATCTTTCATGTTGAAGTTGAACTTCCCGAGTTCATGCCCAGAAAATTAGAACTTGAAACCTGAAATCTCGCGCTCGCCTACAGAATATAGACAACGTGCTCAGCTCAGAACTGATGTGGCAGAATGAAATTACAGCTCAGCTTCAGCTTGGACCAGTCAACAGTAAACGATCTCAATCAATATTCAATATGGATGGCAGATCAGATCATGGAATTGGAAGTGGACGACATAGACATTAGTGAAATTTGAAACCCTACTTTATCATTTCAGCTTATATACATGTTCGGAACGAACGGAACCTCGTCTACCTCTTAAGAGTACTTAACCCTAATCCTGTTAGAGCTGTGACTGCCGTCCGATTGTTGGACCCCCCATCTCATTTGACTCAAACATAATCCACCAAATTGAACGAGTCCTGATGGGTGAGACACCCCAAAAGTCAAAACCATCTCATCAATTCTCAAGAATTGAATAGCTGTTGCATCGTTCTCTTGGATGAATTGAGAATATGGAGAGCCACATCCTACATGTGCTCTTCCGGACTTTCTGACTAAAACTCAGCCCTTCTTTTTCTTTTTTCTTTTATTATATATTATATATATGCACGGTTTGGACTTTGGTCATTGGTGTCTCCTCCTGTCACGTGGAGCATGCCGTTTATTTATTTATTAATTATTATTATTATTTTTATTTTATTTTGGTGAATGAGATGAGAGCATGCAGGTTGCTTGAGACAACAACTTCTCCTCACATGCATCAGTACTGTTCACTCACTAGATTGGGTTGGATTGAGAAGGCCCAAGGCCCACCGTATAGAGCCAACCCACAAGCCTCACGTCACGCTAACCCACCTTCCAATCATTCTCCTCTTGGTCATACCATACCTCACCAGTCACTACCTCATACATAAATTGATATATCTATATAAATAAAGATTGTCAAATCCTTTTCATCTCCTTCATACAACTTAATATTACATTTAGACCCAGGAGCACGGTTCACACTTCACAGTTCACATAAAAAGGAGTAGCAGGAACATCAGAATTAAGGAATTCCACGAGATGGACTCATGGAGGAATCTCAGAGTGAGTTCCCCGGCTTCCATATTTTCGTCCCCAAGGATGAGTTTCTGACAAGAAAGCCTCCTCGTCGGCTACAGAGGCAGGCTCCTGCTCCTCTCCAGTTGAAGCCTGCTCTGCCACCTGAACAATGCCTGGCTAGAGCAAAAGCTATGGGGTGGAACTTGGATTGTTCCTCATCGGCGACAGCGTCTTCATCTTCGTCTTCGTTCTATCACGATAAAACTCCTATTCCCTTGCTTTCACCTCTCGTGTTGCCTCCATTGCCCGAATCTTCTTTTCTTCATAAGGGTACTGCGTCCCGGTCTTCTTGATGTTTGAAGCCAGGCGCCATAGTGGGTTGGTCTCAGCGGGAAAGCTTATTTCGTCCATGGCGAATCCAAGAGGAGACCCATCAACTGGGTTTTATGGCTCGGACGCAGGGGCGCCGGTGTGAGAGGAAATACGATCTCTATCAGAGTTATCCCACCCTGCGCTTACCGAATGCCAAGGAGTTCAATATCTACCTTTAAAGGTTTGGCTTGATTATCATAACTATGAGCATGAGCTTTACTGTTAGATCTCGATGTCTATTTATTAGTACAACAATAAGAAAATGGGTTTCTGAATTACCTAGTTGTTTGCTGTGAACATCTGTATGAGTTTTCTATGAGATCAAGTAGATCAGCTCGCGTGATCTTTGTTTACTTCAATCTTCTCGACAAAACATATGGAACCTTTAGTGAAGGAAACTGCTCTATCCCAAATCCCAACCTTCCCAAAAGCTGGTTCTCTGTTCTTTTACAGTATTCTAAATTTTAAATTACAGTCCAGAAAGGTAGAAGTTCAGCTAATATCTCTTACAAGATTCTAACCCCTAAGGTAATCGTGGTAAATGGAAAAGACCTTCAACTTAACATCTAAGAAGATTTTATGCAGATGCCCAAATGCCAACATCTTAAAATTTGTAAACGTTGTTACAGAGGTTGACTGGATACAAATACAGTGCAATTACAATTTCCTAATCGACAACCTAAGTCACAACTCTGACTATCCAAAACCAAAACAAGTCATAACTCTTAACACAAATTCCATTAATTGGACTCTCAATTGCTCATATTAGTTTTTCTGGTTTTAAGTGAATCATGGATTTTGATCTTCTGGGATTATGACTTGTGACTTTCCTCACATGTTGTTACTCATCTCCAGCACAAATATTTCATGGTTAAGGCTATAGTTTTACTTCTCCATGTCAAGTACATGATATAACATATAGATTTGTGATAGCTCCAAAAATTTACTAAAACCATTGTATCAAAATTCACAAGTTTTCTGAGTATATGGATGTTGTAGAATCCTAATGATTTGATCGTTTTTGTTTTCTTTTTCTTCTTGGCCAAAAGTCCAAACAGGGCATTGGGCTGGTATAATGTTAGAGTGCAAAACCCTGTATTTTGTATTATTTTATTTGTATTTATATTCTTCCCAAACTGAGCCTTAATATCAATAAAAATGTTGAGTATTTCTCATTGCTCAAGTGGTTTTAATTAATCAACAATTAAAAGAACAGAGAATACCATAAATCTGCCTTGGCTAACATTCTGGAAGTCTTGATTCATCATTATGCTTATGGAGTTTACGGTGTGAGTTAATTATTGGTTACACATTGTTCAATTCGATTTGATATTGCACTCTAAATTGGTAAACTTAGAAGGCACATTCCAATATTCTTATTACCAAGTTCAGCTTCCAAGCTCAAAGTTTCATGCTTGTTTGCAGATTGAGTTGTACCTTCTTTGCTGATTCTGTCTTGAAGAGTAAAGAAAGGGATAATAGTCCTCTGGTCCCAATAAAAATGGAAAGAGTAAAAAACTAAATTTGAAAGTATGTAGTCACTATAGCATTAATGAAGACATCAAAATAGACTTAAATAGCGGAATTTTGTGATGGTTTATCACATTACCTGTTTTTCCATTTCCTTAGTATCTCAGAAATATGGTCATATTTGGGAGTGCTTAAAAATAAGTGCTTATTTGGGTCATTAAGCATTTTATAAAAGTGCTT